AAAATGGATAGGATACCTAAGAACCAACAACAGCGTTTTCCAAGCTGAGCTTTCAGCCATAAAACACGCTATTCTATGGTCTCACGAAAGGCATCTAACATACGTTATCATCTACAGTGTCCCTCTCCAATTTCTGTACAAATCCTAAACATGATCTCCATTTCAATACCAATTATCTCGGTCTATTTTTGTCGTATGAGAGTCAAACGTTTTGACCTTTATTTTTTTACAACGGGAACAGAATTTTCCTAAATATGCGTCGAAGGACCTAGAGACTTTATAAAGTATTAGAATTCTAAATTAAAAAAAAAATAATAATTTCTTTAAATTGTCGCGCAGACGGGAAAGTATTTAGTGACCCTGCGTACCGAAATGCGCGGGTTTGAATCCCGGAGAAGGCATGGATGCAATTTGTCCGTGCCCTTCATGGGAGACAATGGTGGCCCGCCTATTTTGATGCCTCCATAATAAAGAGATCAACGTTTCCAGCCTTAGTTGCCTATAAACAGCTAGAGCCCGCCATATGGGAAAAATATGAATCTTTGCGCCATTTAAAACATTTTTGTAACCAGAAACATATGTCTACGACTAACGGTTGCAAAACTAAAGGCCGGGTAAATTGTTTTGTAGACACAGAGCGTACACATGCATATCCTTTCCTCTCGGATATAACTAAATTCGACGAGGTGAAAATGATCATTCTCGGAACTCCAGATGCGTTTTCAGGTTACAGGTTGCTCCTCAGAGTTGCGCTTTTACTAACGGACTTTTTTTTTCTAATGACGGTTTCAAATATCTGCAGGAAACCACGCCTATCAGTTTTCAAAACATCTGATTCATCAACTCTCGCACTTACACATTAAACAGCTTTTCCTGTTTAATTTCTCTCGTTTCTACATTTTAAAATTTCTCTTTTCAAACTAGCGACATTTTATCACAGTTCTCCAACTCAGAAAATTTTTATTTACGTTCAGGGCTTAATTTCTAAAATTAGAAGTGCAGGAGCCCTATGGAAGACCGTCAGCAAAAAGGAACAAGAGTAAATAAATAAATAGACTATTAAACTCATTAATAATTTTAAAATTAAATAGGTAATTATTAGTAAATTAATTGATAGTTATTTAATTAATGTTTATTAATTGTTACTTAATCAATAATTATTATTATAATTAATCAATTATAATTTAATTGTTAATTATTAGCTCATTAATTAATCATTATTTATTGAAATAAATAATTAAAGATTAAAATTAAATAATTAAAATTAAATTAAATTTAAGGAGATAAACTAAAATTTAATAAGCGATATTTAATACAATTTTATTGCTAGAAATAAAATTTTCCAGATAAAATTTCTACTAAAATTGTTATTCAATTGCATAAAAGAAGTGCCGCAGCCTTCTTATTTAGGGCTCCGGTGCGCTCCGGCTAGAATTATCATTTATTACAAAAACTAAGAAGCACCGGGCTCCGGCCGAATTTAAGCTTTGATCGTAGGCGGAAAAAAGTTCTTTTATCATCGCAAAAATTAAATATAGTTAAAGTACAGCTGATGAAAATTCAGATAATGCTAAAAACAGGGCGAAACAGAACGAGGGCGTAAGGGTATGAGTGGGTGGAAACAAAAATGAGGGGAAGCTTGGTGAGAGAGAACGTTCTTTTTGACTGCGGCTCTCAACTGATATAATTATAGTCATCAAGTGGATGTGTATCAAGGGCAAAATGAGTCCTGCTTCTGACTCCTAAGGATAAATGTAAAGTTGCTGTTACGCTTTTCTTCCGCCCCGTATTTGTTTACATTAGTGGATACTATTGGAAGTCGATGCATAGGACGTACTTGAGCAGTTTATCTCAGTATTTTAAGAAAATTTAAGAACACAAATTTTCCTTCTTGCGAGGATAACTAACTGTAACCATCGATAACAGTACACTAGATACGATGGCATGGCGAGAAATTTACGCGTTCATAAACAAACTCTCCCAAATGTATTGTCCTTCTTAAAGGGAAAAGTTTCCGCATGTGAGTGAGGGAACTTTACTTGAACGTCTCCTGTTCTCATGAGTTCATATTTCTAGGGAAATAGTGTATTGTAAGGTCTGCTTATTGTTAAACTAAAACGTTACGAACTCTATTTTTTTCTCCTTGAAATTGTGGTTCAGGTTTATTAGAAGAAGTACCGGAGCTCATCTTATTTAGGGCTCCGGTGCGCACCGGTGCAATTTAAGCACTGTTTACGTTACAATGTCTTCCAACAATACTGTCTTCCAAGAGCATCTTCTGTTGATGCTTTCAACGCTTCTAAACCTAAGACAAACTGTGATGTCATATCCAGTAGCGATAAAGAAAAATTCATGGAGACTGAAGCTTGCATTATTCTATTAATAATACAATATATGAAGTGATGCAATGTACAGTATATTTTATTCTATTTATTAACTCTGGTATTGCATTTGGAATCGGGGAACTGCAAACAAGAATGGAAATGACATATTTAACCTCATTCAGTTAATTATAACATTCATGCCTCAGACGAGCCCATATATTACGGATACAATAGCGCCACCACAATTGACTTCTTCATCTCAAATAACATTACTAGCAGATGTAATATTTCTGTAATTCCAGCCCTCTGTTCCGACCACAACCCAATTGTATTTGAAATCCCCATTAATAAATACCTCCCATCACTTGACAGAAGTATAGGAGTTACAAATTGGATCAAATACTCAGAAATTATGAATAACTCCCTACAAGGAAACCCATGCATCAACAACAAAGAAGAATTAGAACAAGAAGTCACAAAATTTACCAACTGCATCAATTCTGCTTTAAGGGAAGCCAGCAATACTTTTTACGGGAACAACCTTTTTCCCCCCTGCCTGCCGATATAAGAAACAGTATTAAAGAGGAAAATCAGAACCGTAAAAGATGGCAAACCACCAGAGATCTACAACTCAAACGCAAACTAAACTCTATGCAAAAAAAAAAAAAAAAAAAAAAAAAAAAAAAAAAAAAAAAAAAAAAAAAATTATCATAAGAATCAAGAACTTCAAAAACCAAAAATGGACCAATTTTCTATATAACATAGCTATAGAGGATAATTCCCTATTTGACATTTCCCGCAAATTCAAGAAACCTTATAAACGTATCCCACTTATCCATGGACCTAGTATAATTTCATATACGGAAGAAGATAAAGCTAAATCTTTTGCGGACTATATGGAAGATACATTCACTCTTAATCCCACTCTGTACGACAATAACCATATTCAAGGGTCAGCCTGCTGGCCAATAACTTCCTTAATACCCCTGCTCCGTACACTTCACTTTCCTGAAAACTCCAACAATCGTAGCCAACACCATCAGCTCCTTACAGACGAAGAAAGCTCCAGGGCACAATGGCATCGCATCTCGACCAAAGCACTGAAACATTTTCCGATCAAAACTCTTACCTGCCTAACTAAGATAATTATCAAATTCGCTCATTTTCCTAGCCCATGGAAGCAAGCTAGCTATAATAATTGTTTTTGCTAAACCGCAACAAAATCCCACCTTCACACAGAACTAGCACCCTATCAGTTTACTAAGCCATCTTTCTAAAGTTACTGAGAAATTTCTACTTTTCCACATCCAAAGAATTCACCCCTCCATAAATTTTCTCCCATAAGAACAATTCGGTTTTCGCAACCATCATAGCACTTGCCACCAGCTTCTTAGAGTTATCAACATTATTATTGAAGGCTACAACTGCAAGCTTCCGACCGGTGCCATATTCCTCGATATTGCAAAAGCTTTTGACAAGGTATGGCATCGCGGCCTTATTTACAAATTAATCACTCTCAATTTTCCAGATCATTTTATTTGCTTACTAGGCTCTTTTCTCAGCAACAAAACATTCAGAATCAAAATTAGTACTGCTTACTCAACCACCAGAGTAATCAAAGCTGGTGGGCCACAGGGGTCGGAACTTTCGCCGTATCTTTTTAATATTTATACGAAAGACATCCCTAAAGACCATTCTGTTCATCTTACTATCTTTGCCGATGACACCGCCATACTTACTAAAGCCTGCACAGCAATCGCCGTAAGAAACCAACTCCAAAACTATCTCATAAAACTGGAAAAATGGCTCACCCTTTGGAGAATTCAAATGAACACTGATAAAACCAAATCAATAATTTTCCGCAAGGGAAACATGAAATACTATTCTCCACCCCCCTGAAATATTTGACGAAGAAATAGACTGGATTAATGAAACCAAATACCTTGGAGTCACCTTAGATCAAAAACTTACCTTCAGAACCCACTTCCGCTCCGTAGCACAAACATTTAAAATCTCCACAACAATTATGCGACCTCTTCTTGGTAGAAGAAGCTACTTATCTACTACAAACAAATTAATTTTATATCGCTCCATACTTCGTCCATCCCTCCTTTATGCAGCTCCGATCTGGGGACATGCAGCTAAAACCAATATTAAACGATTACAAATTCTGCAAAATAAACTTTTACGAGAAATTATCAATGCTACTTGGTATATTCCAAACACATACATTCAGAGACTTTCAAGTCGAACCTATTCAAGAGTATATTAAACGATTAGCGGTCAACTTCTTTCATTCAGTACAAACCCATAGTAATAGAACAAACCCTGAGAGTGCTATAGCACTCTCACTCTCCGCATCCCGGTAAAAAATATCGGTTCCCGAATGACATCCTACCCACATAAGAATTACAACCTTAATTGACTCATTCAGGCTGAATTGACTCTGCGGTCTGTCACCCGCTGCTACATCTTTTCCCCCTCCCCCATTCGCCGCCGCTAGCGCAAACCTGACTCTCTTTGCCCCCCTCCCACACCTCCTACTACACTACTCTTCTTTCTTTTCCTTCCAAATTGTTATCAGAAGGCGAGCAAAAAGGCGTTTCTGCATCTTGACACTCGAGAATAAAATACGATCAGTGTATCTGTGTGATATTGCAAACAACACGGAACTATGGTGCATGGATACCTGGTTCTATAAAGTGTTCGCTGTTGTCCGCAATTTAACGTATTTACGCTGCATGTTTTAATACGAATTAACCACGGGTACGTGGTTACTACACAAGTCCTTATCTAACTGAGAGTTATTCGGAGATTCGGAAAAAATCACTATTGCACGCTATATTGACAACTTTCGTACCTTTAGTGGCAACATCACCTGAGATAAGGTTTGTTTACATGTGGGAGCATGCGTGACTTTGATAAAGTCATGTCGAGACATTTAAAAAGTACTCTATGATGTGGGGTTTAAAAGTCCAGAACGAAAGTGTAACATGCTTACTAAATTGTTTCTCAACCGCCTTGAGTTAGGATGTGTCTCCAATGTTTTGGTGTGCGTTCTTCTCGCTACATTGTATGTGGGAAGTTTATATGTATGGAGGAATACACACGGAAGGTGAGTATTTTTTGAAACCACAACATTTCTGCTGAAATATTTTCTTACCGATTTTCTAAATTTCTGCCCGAGAGTTATTTTTTTTTTTTTCCGCTTATAGTGTAGAATTGGGTGCCCCTTCGATTGGCGACAAATTTTGTTCAATTTTGGTGATGAAACCCCATTTCTGATTACCATGATAGCTTTAACTTAATTTTAGCTTCCTGATTTTTTTAAACTGAAAATAGATCATAGATGTACATGGAAAAACTAAAGGCAGTGCGAAGTGCCGAGTTTGTCCAATTCTGTGATATTTTTAAGTGAAAAATGATCGATGTGTACATGAACACCGAGTTTGCAATTCTTTTACTTCTTATTTTGGTTTCTGTAGCAGCCATCTCGAAATTGTGCCTCCTTGACGCTGATCTTGACGTCAAAAAAGAATCGCCAAAAATAAACAAGGGGCACCCAATTATAAACTTTTACCTTTTTTTTTCTATTGAAATACTTGTATAACGATTTTTAATAAAGAGGTGATTTATTTAATGCGATAAAGAAAGCATGAAAAAATTAAAACTCAGTTTCCGTGAGAATGAAATGTACTCTAATCTTTCTTTAATACAGAAAAGTGAAATTTTAAAGGTACTTGGGGTAAAATATAACATTGCCCATAAATTGCGCTGGCAGTGACCATGCGACGTAGATAGTCAGGAGCCCTAGACATAAGGTTATCAGACTGCTGAGCCACCTAGGAGTTGTGATGTCATCGAAGTATATATCCAGTACTTTTAGTCTAGAGTGATTGTCTATCTAATTAATCATTTGTGAATGATTAATTGATGACCTAATCAGTTAATTATTCGCATATGTACTATGGAATGTGATGTACAGTCAAAGAATTACGTTGGCAGTGACAAGATGATGTAGACATTCTGAAATCCTAAACATAAAGTTACCAAATGTTTGGCTCACCTAGGATTTGTGATTATATCCAAGACTGTATCTAACACAAGTTTAGAGTGATATCCATCTAATTAATCATTTACACAGTTAAATGCATCAGTTCCAGTTGAAATGATTTTCTTCAATTCAAAACATTTGATATCCAGAAAGATGTCGACTAGAGCTGTCTGTAGTAAAGGAATTGGGGAAAGTGCAGAATCGCCCACTGCTTGGCACGTTTTTAAGAATTGCACATACTTGGTATCCATGCACGCATCGACCTATTTTCACTTAAAAAAACATACCAGAATTGCACCAAAATGGCATTGTGCCCTAGACTTTATCCATGTACACATCGACCTATTTTCACTTAAAAAGTCAAAGAAAATTGACAAAAATACAATTCTTCTTACTCTTGTAGAAAGCTCCAAACAAATAAGTGGGCAATTCTGCACTTTAGCCAAGGAATTTTTAAACTTGGAAGTGAATTTCAAATGCTCATAAAGTTTTTTTTTTTTAATTTTTAATTAATTTTTTTTTTTTTTTAACATATAAAATCTAACAAAGAGTTGTTAAGAGAAAACATATCTAATGAAAAATATCCAAGAATGTAAGAAACACGTAAATCCAACTTTTACTCCTTCATACCAATTTTTATCTGTCATACAGCCTTTCATATTTTACATGTTGTAAGCTTTCTAATTAGTGAAATGAGTTTTCAATTAAGTGATCTGGACATGGGCATCCGCGGAGCATTTTTAAAGGGAAAGGTGTGGTGTGGTGTGGTGTATTTAATTATGGCAAAGCACACTAGGGCTATATGCCTAAGGGGAGGGATGCCTTCGTGGAGGACTTTCTAAGGGAAACTGGCTTGTATACACGTTACACAGTAAAGGGAAAGGAGAGGCCATTGGAGACAAATAACAACGATAATAAATTTTGGTACTTTTCCGTTTTGCCGGCGCAAACGAAAAAGTTGCCAATAATGCTACAACTGATGCCAAACGGAATATCTTCGCTGGTAACCTTTTACGCTTCATTTTCAAAACAAGTCGCAGCCATTTCTTATCAGACTGATTGTTTCTTTCAATACTGGCATACAATTACATAGAATTTTTGCAAGATAGTTAAATTTTATGCCCTAAGACCATTCGCGGTAATTAAGTCAATTAGGATGCAGTCACCCCACTCACAGGCGAAAATATAGAAAGGCAAAATCAAGGGTTAAATTCATCCATTCTAATGAGAATGCACTAGCGAAGCAAAGCACTACGGTTTTACATAATTTCTGAGTAAGCTATTCGTACGAATTGAATAATTCTTGCATTTAAACTTGTATTCCAAATTAAGATTTAACTTGAAATTAATGTAGATAATTACTGAGAGAACTATATTTTTGTAGCGTAGTTTACGTGAGATGAGATCACTTGGAGTCACATAATAAGAACCGGAGAACTAGGATGTTGAACCATGAAAGCATAGTAAATTCTTAAATTAATGTCTTTTTACAAATTTATTGTCTATATTTATTAGCTTTTTACACAATTTTAAACCATATCAAAAGAAAAAAAATCTTAGAAGTAACATTTTTTATGTGTATACTGTCGCCAACAAAGTCTGCTTGGCGAGATTTGCGCTGGCGAAACGGAAAAATACCTAAATTTTTTTTAAATTTTCTAATTTTGAGTGATTTATGAGAAGCTTACAGAATGCAGTATTGCATTGATACAAAAACACATGTATTATGCATATATTTTATATTGCAAATTGTTTTTAGTTTCATGCAAACAAGCAGGATGTCAAGTTGATGTAGCATAAGCAGGCGGTATGCAATGTGGAGGTATACAACCTCTTAACGCACAAATTGAGCAAGAGCGAGACATTCACAACTTATCTATCAGTTTGTACTGTGGTGTGTGCTCGGCATGCCAAAATGTCTCACATGAGTGACAAGTGTACCTACTCAGTGCATTTAGCTACTTGTGTCTTTCAATAAACTGCAGATCTTGCACTTATTTTTAGTGTCAATTTAGTAAGTTTTTATAACTTTGTGTGTTGCTTTTATTTTTTTTAAACATGTTTTCAGATGCCACCTCTTTGCCATGGCTACAAGATAAGTAAAGGAAAATGGAAGTTAAAGTTGAATGGATCAAAATGCTCACATTTATGTAAAACTCAAATGGCCCTCTGAACTGTCTTGTTCGTCAAGAAAAATTGGTGTATAATAAAAACTCAAATTTGGGAAGACACTATTTAAACTAAGATATATCATTTGGCTATATTTGCCAAATAAACATGCATCATTTGACTGTAAATATCCTGCTGGTGATCTAATGAATGAAGCTGATGAACTTCAGGCAAGAAGAGTCAAGTTTTGTATTTAATTTATTGGGATCTGTTTTCCAAAACTGTTAATTGATAATGTTAACAAAGAGACTGCTAAAAGATGCAAACCAAACACAAGTGGTGAATACATTAAAAATGCTTTATAAATGCGTCCGAAAAGCTATTATAGGATTTTAAGAGCAAGTTAGAAATTCTTTAAAAAATTAAAGAATTGCCTTTGTCTTCTTAAACTGTAATATACAGAACAGTCAAAATGTCTTCAAATATAACCCATAAATGAATCAAAGATCTTAAATTGATCTCAGCTGTTTCAATAGTTGTTGATGAATCCTGACATAAATGACACGGCAGAAGTTTCACTTTTTATTCAGTATTTCGTGTGTGGGTCCTAAAGAACATCTTTTACTGACTATTGTCACTAAAAGGATTGCACACATGGATTGCAAATGTTGTCACTGAATGCTTGGCAAAGCTTCATATTCCACTCGATAAAATTGTTTCAGTTTCAGCAGATGGAACAAAAAGTATGACGGGAGTGAGAAAAGGTTTTGTTTTTATTTTGAAGGAAAATTTTAATTACAAGTTACTTGTTTACCATTGCATTATTTATCAAGAATTGCTTTGTGCGTGGACATTTCCAAAAGAAATTTGGGTAAAAGTATATTTTAGGATATCCCTTGGCGGTACATGGATACTGAGTTTGTGCAATTCTTTGACTTATTATTTTGGCTTGCACACAAAGCCAAAATAACAAGAGAAAGAATTGCATAAACTCTGTATCCATGTACACATTGACCTATTTTCACTTTAAAAAAAATCCCAGAATTGTACAAAAATGGCATTGCGCATTCCCTTCACTTTGTACATGTAAACATTGATATATTTTCACTTAAAAAGTCTAAGGAGCACCCAATTCTACAATACAGGCAAACAAAAAATACATAATCTCAATAAACTACATTTTAAACCAAACAATAACATAAAAAAGGGGAAACATGTTATACATTTAAGCACTACAAAAAGCAAATATCCTCTTACCCTATTTAGAAGTTCCTTCGTCTTTAGTCTGTGGCACACAAAATTCCTTAACAACATCCAAAAACTTCCTAAAATTAACTGAAGTTGAATCCATATATCGGCATAGCCACATCTGAACCTTTCTTTCTTCCTACAAACCCATTTAAATCCATCTAAACGGTTTTTACGTTCGACTAGACACTTATCCTTTCTACATACAGGACACTTATAATGACTATTAAGTAAACTTTCATTTACATACCAGTCAGTTAACGCTTTTTTCCTCTTTCGTTCCAAATCGTACAGAAACTTCAAATTAATCTTATTACTTTCAGCCATTCTATTGTGTAAACAATAAAACCACAAAAAAGTGCTTACAAAACATCCCATGATTCAAAATTTCCCAGAATCATGCACCCGATTACGCCACAATAGGGTACAATAAAACCACAAAAAGGTGCTTACAAAACATCCCATGATTCAAAATTTCCCAGAATCATGCACCCGATTACGCCACAATAGGGTTTCCATAACATTCAACTACTCAGGCTACCATAAATGAAACAACAACTTGGCGATAAATGAAACAATAACTTGGCAATAAATGAAACAACAACTTCGCCATAATACAAGGGGTGCCTTAAAGTCTACTCTAACCAAAATTTGTAATCTGAAGCTTTGTTGAATCACATTTGAATCTAAAGCTTTGTGTGACTGCTTAGTTTAAAGAATTTTTAGGTGAAATGGAGACAAATACATATCATCTGCTGGATAATAAGATATGTTGGTTTTCAAGAAGAAATATTTTATTGGTTTGTCTGGAAAGTTCATGCTGATTTTTGGCAGGTGGCCTAATGACAGGTCTGAATTTATCAGAATGGCTAAAAACAAATGACATGTGTACATATCATAAAAGATGGTGCTTCAGGCATATTTGGAAAAAAATTGGCTACAATACATTAATTTTTGTCAGTTTTATGCTCTTTTGAATATGGAAGAAAACAAAATGTATTTTAGGCATTTAATGGTTTTTTTTACTGGAAAGGCAAGCAAAAAAGCTATGTGCTGTTTATGGCAAAGGTGCTGTAGCTGAAGGAACTGTGTGGAAGTTGTTTGCTAGGTTTCAACCTTAAAGATTAAGAATGCCCAAGTAGGCCCTCCACAAAGATCAAGATCAGATTAAAACACCATGTCAAAATTCACCATCCACAAGCATTTTGTGAAGCTTGACTACATAAGCTGTCTTGAAGTAGGGTTTTCCACAATTTAAGGGAGAATTTCCATTTGTGACTCTCTCTATAAATGCAATGAAAAGACACCATTTTTGAAGTAAGTAGTGTCGGAGGATGGAAAATGAACCATTTATAATAATGTTGACGCTCTTGGGGAAAGATTCTCAACATATTATAAATAATCAACTGCACTACTATGTTAGATTTTGCTACACTGCTGCTCTTATATGCTGGTAGGGAAGCCAGCTGCCATAGCTTTTTGTGCAGGTTCAGATCCTGGAGTAGGCATGAATATTTATACACACAATAGTATATTTGTGGCAGGAAGAGATTTAAATTGCTGGTTAGCTGAAAGTCTTCTAGAGAGATTGATGGTAGAGAAAGAGGAGTGGTGACCCTCAAATTCATTCCCAGGAGGTATTCTTTCAAAATTATGATGAAAGCTGGTCAAACTCGTATTACCTTCTATATTCAAGGCCTAAACCAGTGAAAAGTACATACTTGCTTTTGAGCTGGAATAACAGATGTGGACCTGATTTAGCTGCAGAAGATAGGTAGGATTGGAAACAGCTGACACATTGCTATGTTAAAGTAAAAAGTTTTAAAACATAAACTGAAAAGGCAATAAAAAAATGGAAAAGAATATTACCTTTATTATATTAACATTATAGTAAAGGTTAGTTTCAGAAAAAAAATTGAACAGTCTAGGATTTTGAAATAATTTATGTTATTCAGGAAATTGTAGTCATGCTCTCCATTTATTATTTTATGTAAATAACTGTAATTTTAAATGATTACCAAGCTTCATCATTCAGCAAGCTTTCTATTATGGAAAATTGTAGTCTTATTTTTGTACAGTTACAATATGCAGATTTCTTAAGAACAGCTGTTCTCAACCTTTTGACTAACTCAGACCATCTAAACAAAAACTGAAAAACTTTAGTACCACCACTACATTTTACAATCATTATTTTCCAACTTCTCAATAGAAATATTAAATATATATACCTTTTGCACAACCTATTGGATATTTGTATTAAATATGCACACATAAAAAATATTAGATTAAAAATTGGTTGCCATTTTAATAAGCAAAATTTAAGTTATAATACTTTAATTCTAAAATTTAGTGTTAAATTTGGGCCTGTTTAAGAGAGATCAATTTCTTTATGTCTGGTCTTATTTCACTTAGTTTTAACTGCAAATTAAGATCCACTTTAAACTTTGGTTGGTATTTATTTTTCAGATATAACATGGAAGAAAATCCTTCTCACACAAATAAGTTGTGCAAGAAGGCAATACAAATTTAATAGCCTTATAAGAAATGCCTTTAAATTCTTTCCTTCAGTTCAGCCAAAAGTTAACAAGTGTGGTATTTTTGAAATATTCAGTTAAAGTTCGATCACGGGAAATTTCTATCAATTGTTCCTTTTCTTTATGAGATTTTTGAATTTAATAGTTAAAATTACTTTGTTTCTTTGCATACCACCAGTGGTATGCATAATATCAATTGAGAATCGCTGCTTTAGAATATATGCATTTAAATTTTATAATATGACTGTTTACTTTCAGAGATCATCCATCAACGATAAAGAAGAGAATTTTAAGTGTCTTCCTGATGTCTTTTGTGTCTGCTGTCTTTGTGTATGTTTTTGCTGATCGAGAATATTTTGGATCTGTAGGTATTTTTAAAATCTTGTTAAATTATGGTAACTCTTTTTTTTTAAACTACCTTTCTCTTGATAGCAATTTTTCTGTTCACTGCCAAAATGCTTATCTGAGAACTTCTTCAAAGTAGAGTTGTTGCAGATATGTTAGAATTATTTTTGAGTGTGGAAATATGTTTTAAAAACGCTCTTGTTATCTAGTTTAATAAAAGTTAAAATATACTGCTTCTTACTGCAACTAAAGTTTGCAAATTTGAGTTTAATGAGATTGAAAATTGTGCTGATCAATCTAGATACTCAAAAGTTAACAGAGGAAGATAAAAAATATTATGCACATAAATGATGAAAATTATTTCATTACATAAGAAATTTTTAAAAATGTTAATATGAAGGAATTCAGTGTATTTATTATACGCTTACATTAGAAAAATGGTGCATGAAATGATAATAGTTTGAAGGCATATAGTAGTTATAAAGGCGAATTAAATTATATATATTTATGTGTAAGTGAGAATGAAGGGTAATAATATGTTCTGTTTACATTTGCTAATATTTTTCTTTCTATTAACAAAAATATTATGTAGAAACATGATTCTAAACAGTGTAATACAGATGCAACTAAAAATGTAAATTTTATTGTAAAACAAGTTTTCTTGAAATTCATTACTATATATACATAAAAGCAAGTATGCAGTCACTCATGAAATAATTAAAAGTTCACAAACTTCCTAGAATGCCCATTGCCAACTCTAGAAGCTGTTCTGGATTCTTTTAGAAAGATGAGATTTTTTATTTCTTATCCTTTTCTTGTTAATGTTTTCCCAACTTTTCTTTTTTCACCATCAAATCAAACCAATTAGAACAAGTGCATATCTATGTTAAATCATCTTTTGGTAGTCTTTCCCCAACAGGATTGTTCTCATTCTCTGAGAACTTTCTTCAGGAAAAAGATATTGTATATGTTTATTCGTCTTATGTTCATTTTGTCTCATGCATTTATTAAACTTTCTGAAAAAGCACATTATATGCTGCATACCGTGTTTTGCTAGGACAGGGAACGCTAGTATTTGAGTTTCTACCCAAGGAAACTCAGTGATCTCAAAATGGGCCCTGTGGGCTGCATGTGGCTCTGAAAAGAACTTTATGTACTTCCTCCCCAGTAAAATAGTGTGCAAAACAGAGTGCAATAAAACATTTACTTGCCCCCAATTTCTCATTTCTCTATTAACAAAAGTACTTTCGTTAGAACTGTCAGAAGAAAATAAATAAATGAAGCAGAATAATTAGTTTGTCTCCTTACAGAAACTCAACCATTTTCTATTACTTCCATTAGGATGATAGAACACTAGATGAAGAAGACAAGACAAATGTTTTGAAGCTGAAGGTTGGCAGGGATGTTTGCTAGTAAAATCCTGATGGTCTTGGTTTGCTGTCAGTCATGCAAAATAGAAAGCAGAAAATATGAAAAAGGATGGTGATGACGTGCTTGTTGTTGCTACGGTAATATTTTCTATATTAATTGTGTCTGTTGTTAGCAGCATCAAATTGTCCTCACATGTGTTTGATATTTCAACTTCAAATGTTTTGGAAGTGGTAGCCTCTTCTTATGTTTGCGCAATTACTGTTGTGGGAGAAGGTGCTGGTTTTGAACATCCAGGATACATATCCATGATTTTTTAGCACTGTTTTGCAGAGTCATTCATTAGTTTTTATCTCTTTTCTGAAACCTTCTGGCCACCATTTTATTTATCCATTCTAAAAAGTAGTGTAAAAGAATTCAATTGCAATATTTTTTGTCATCAGCTTACATTATTCAGTGACAAAGTAAAATTCTCTAGAGAATCTTTATTAATTGCATTTATAATGTATTTTCAATTTCACAATTAAATGAAAACGTGACTGTACTGTATTTTCATAAAGCTACTTAACAACCGTCGACTATAGGTTCTACTGTACCCTTACCATACAGCTACCATATCTCTTGTGAGTTTGAGTGCAATATGTGGTCCGTGCATCCATGTCTCTCTCATGTGCAACTGTCTCACTGAGTCATGTGTGTTGATTTGATGGTTTGAGTTTCTTGATTGCCCCAAAATCGCTCTGTCCCACCAGGCATTTGCCTGCTCGCCCACCAACACTGTCTGCCTCTGTTCACAATACAAACAATACAGAGAATATAAAGACAATACTAATTTAATTTTCTTTTCTTCACACAAAATTCTTAAATCAAATTGTTTTATTTAGGTATTGTTCTGTTATCAGGACTGGATTTAGAAATGTATATATATGTATGCATGTATGTAAGGATGTATGTGTTCATATTTGCATGTATATATTGTAAGTACAAATGTGTGTGTGTATATGCATATACACATATATGCATATACATGATATACACGTGCATACATTTATACATTTCTGAATCTGGTACCGATAACAGGAAAGTACCTTTATTTATTTAAAATTAGTTCACACTTTAAATATGAAATTTTATAATTATCTATTAATGTAAAAATTCAGCTAGATTATCCCGTTACACATGTATTATTTCACATTACACATGTAAATTACATCAGATCATGGATATTTTGGTGGTTTTCTATCATGATGAAATATATTCAAATAATTTTTTCTTAAAACTTTCTATAAACATACACCTTTCTTTGGCCAGCAGACAAAACATACTTTATTAGATTTAAATAACCATATGCAAGGATTTCATCTGATTTTTCCATTACAGTATAAATATCAAAATAAAATAAAAATCAGAATTGAATTTTTGCAATTCAACTCAAAATAATTAAATTACCAATAAGCAATAATTATCGTTAATTGTATTTGAATGTGCAGGGCTACAGACTAACCGTTATATTTTGTAAAACATTGCTCTCATTTCCTAATTTTTAATAATGCCAATATGAGCATAAAAGCTGAGTGTAGAATTAAAAATGCATATGTATTTATAAATGATTACAGAGACTGATCGAAGATAGTTATTATGACAAGATCTACAAAAACTGTCTCTCAAATGAATACTATGGTAGAAAATTTAAAGAAGCTGAAGTACACAATAGCTTATCATATTTTAATTCAGGCACAAATATATATATCCAGTTTTAATATATATAAAAAAAGCACAGATATAAAAGTTTCCCGCCACTGCTAATATCATCTGTGCAAACAGTTTGTGTTGCCGTGTTTAATCATATTTTGCCAAATGATTTTTCTCATTTGAAAGAAAAAGACTTGCTGTGTTGTGAAATTTGTAAAAATATATCGTTGTCGTTTAGTACAAGTTGTTTGAAATGGAACTATCGTAGTACCAGATTAGAACCATCATTTATTTCCAGTTCTGTTACAAAAAGTCAGCTACAGAATCTCACCAAATCATGCGTATAGCTTTAGGTACTAATGTTGTATCCTATAACACTGTGAAGGCTTGGTGCCAAATGTTCAAAAACAAAGACTATGACATTTAAGAAGCAGAGAGCTCTGGCCGCCCTACTGATGTTGCTGAGGCCCACCTGCAAGAACTTGTGGAAGAAGTTTAGTATGAAACCACTCAAGAGTTTCCTAAGGAGTTAGTGCCTTGTCCATTAGTTGCACTATGCATTGCATAAACTTGACATCCAAGCTCAATTGCTGGGGGCTGCAAGCAAGAGTTTAAGTGGATTTACTTGAACAACACAGGCCAGTCATATAAAGATCATGCTTTGTATCTGGTGGGATTGCCGTAGTATTCTCCATAAAGAGTATCTGGAAAAAGGTAAAACCCTCAACAGTTAGGTGTGCAGTGAGATGCTATTCCGTGTTGATGTTGCTAATCAAGGAAAAACATCAAACTGAGTTCCTGCACAAAAAAGGAATTCCCTGTCAAGAAAATGCAAGACAGCATGTGTCTGCATTCACTGGCTGGACTCTAATGGGATCTAACTCTACAGGCTCGAATAGGATCTTTTGCAACATCCACCATATAGCCTCGACATCACCCCTGGTTGCATGGAGATTTTAATGGTTTTCTCATGTGTAATATGAATACAAGCTAGTTGCCCTTTAAAAAGGTCCTTCATGAAGGAATCTATCTTCTTAAGCATATAGTCCTTGTGTGCTTAGCCTTAATAAATTAACTCATCCTGTGTAACTTCAGGTAATATCATTTGCCCCTTAGTTTATGCATGAATGTTTGTTTTTATAATTCCTGAAATTTCCCTGACGACCTTTTTCTCAAAAGCATTTGGAAATTATATGTAAGAAAATATGACAGAAATAAATAAATAAATAAATAAATACATGAAACTGGTACAAGATCCATTTACTAGATAAATAAATCATTTAAAATTTAAAATCCATTTGATAGATAGAAGGAAATATGGAGGTAGAATAGACACAACAGTTTGCTGATCAGACAAGTTTGCTAATTGAAAACAGATGATTTCTGTTGTCATTTGATAAACACTTTTTAATTCTGCTGTTTATATTTAGTCCAAAGGGGCAATTTGCCCAGAAAACTATTAATTTCCTTTTGGCATTTTGCATTGATTCACTATAAGCGTTGTTTCACTTTTCTAATTGTTGCCATTAAATATTATTGCCCTGTATTATATTTAAAGAAATTAAATAATGAAGAATCTGCATAAATGTATGTATATTTCTTGCATTGTGATAAAACAACAGTACCTAGAGCCATCAAATTTTGAATGAAGTAATCTTCCTCCGAATATGGGCATCTGGAAGCCCAATTTTGGATTTTGGAATTTGTTTTATTATCGATTTCATATTTTGTAAAACTTAAATGAATTTTTGATTAACAAACTCAAGGATTTGAAAGCAAGCTATGGCAATGTTGTACAGAAAAAAAGAAAAGAATTATATCCAGCGCGGGAGACTGTGTATCGGAAATTCTAAAGATATGCTCATTTAAAAATTATTTTGCGATATTGCTCTTGAACTGAATTTTATGGTATGGTTTAAGTGCAAAGAACATGATGTTTAATAAATAAAGGCAACACACTGGCTTAATCTGAAATGTAAAATCTGAAAGCTTTCAGATTTTTTAAAATTTTTACTTGTATTGTTCTTTAAATTTAAATTCATACTAAAATGTACTTTCAGCCAGCCAAAGTACAACCTTATAAAGGAAGTATCCAATAGATTTGAAATTTGCACCATGTATGTATGTAAGTTCACACTGTACTACATATGCAGTTCATGTGTGCTGCTTAGAAGCAGAATAAAAAGAAAGTTCATTAACTGTTTTAAGTACTGGAATTGTGTTTTCCCATTATTCCTTTCTAGGGAAACCTTCAGTATGTTTTGTTAGAAATAGGACAATTAGTAAATTTCTGAATTTCACAAAAGAGCAAGTGTGGATTCCCCTTCCAAGATATTAGTGCTTGTACTAGATAAAATATAAAATCACAGTGCTATAGGTTACTGTAGTTCTGTAATTCTGATAGAAGAAATTAGGTGTCTAAGAAGGTTTGCTTTTCTTTGATCAAATCAGTTACTAATGATACAATTTTAAGCTAATAGAATTTTATTTGTTGTTTATTATGCTTATATTATGTTCTCTAAGTGAAATTTTTTAACCGTGCTACTGAATTTCACTTGATATATTATTTTTAGGATCACACCTACTGGTCACTGTTGGGCTTGCGACTTTCAGGTATCATACCAGCTGTTTTTTTGCCTTTGATTCTCACCATGGTAAGCTCTTTTTTCAACTCATTAGCTCTTACAGGAAAATATATTTTTGTGTTTAAATTTTAAGAAAGCATAAATTGGAATGCCAAAGCATAAACAATAATAATAGAAGCATAGAGCATAATCTTATCAATGTCTAAATTCTAGTCTCAGATAATATTATTTCTTAGTTTTATTTCCTACTATACAAAGAAAGTGAAATACATAATTATCATTAGATGTATTTAATTGCTTGTATCTTTGAAAATTATGTGGTTTACTAAATTAAATTCATAAATTTGATCGGTATTAAAAGTTTCTCATTGCAACTCCATTACCTACTTTATAGTCCTCTTTTGGATTTATTAATGATTTCGTACTTAAAATTCGTTAAAATGTGATGTTTCCTCCGACAATGAAAAATTTTATGTAAGTGTTAATTATTACATAAAATTTAAGAATCCATTTAATTATAATGCAGTTAATTACAGTAGTTTCATAAGTAATAAAATTTTTTGTTTTATTATACCTAAAAAGATTTTTTTTTTAAACCTAGAATTTTTATTTTTATAATATTTCTAACAAAGGGTGATTAAATAAACTATCTTATGTTTCTGTATTTTTCAACCTTCTTAAGCCTTTTAATAGCTTGTATTTTGTTATCGTATAACCCTGTTATAGATTGATTTCTAATTGCTTTGTGTTTTCATTGCTGTCTGTAGATCTGTTAAAGTGTGCTTTATCTATGTAATATTTTGCATGAATAAAAATTATGCATGGTATAATTTTAAGTGAGTGAATGGTTTACTGTATTAAAACCATTTCATTTAAAAATGTATTCATGAATTTTTTATCTTAATAACAGCAGAGTTTTTAAAAAAATTTGGGTAAATAATTACAAATTTTCTCAACATAATTCAATATTTTAATTTGTTATATAATAAATAATGTCAAAATTTTGATCTGATTTTATTATCTTAGAATATATCCACATAAAACTTAATAAATCTGTATAGAACTATATTCTGTGAAATGTAACTACACTATTACCCCGTTCAAATGCAACGCTCTTTCGCACGTACAGCCACAGCCACCATTTGAATTAGGGAGAAACGAGAATATGAAGTAGATCATTTAGGACCATTCGTAAAAATTTCAAGAGGAAATACAGAATTATTTGTAATAAGTGATAATTTTACGAGATTTACACGCTTATATCCTATGAAAAGTACTGCAACCAAGTATGTGTTAGTTGCATTGAAGAGTTTTGTAGTATAGTGCTGTAGTATAGTTTGCTTTCAGGACTGGTTCAGATGCACATTGTCTTCAATCCCTTAACCCATAAGCCACTGTGAGCAATGAATGATGTCACAAACGCGAATCAGATTTGGCGGATTTCTAACATTTACTTGCATCTTTTTTGACATTGTTTACTATTGCTGTAGAACACCATCAGAGTTTTAACTCTTTAATTAATTAAAATACACCTAAATTAATTTAAAATGCGATTTATATATGAGACTAAATGATTAAAAGAAGAAAAGAAACCACATAGGCTGCTGAGCAGTTTTAAATAAAATGTTTAGTGGCTGCTAAAATTTCAAACTTTGCTTTTTCAAAAAAGGAATAAAACAACAAATTAATAGTATTAATATTAATTATAAATATCTTAATATTGATTATAAACATTTTAGAGAATATTTTATATAATTAATTTATCTCTTAAAATCGTTTTGAATGTTTTTCTGAAGATTTTAAATAAAAGCTTGTAATTTATGTTTATATTAATCAATTGAATAGCACTGGGTTTTATTTTATATCTATGTAATGGAATTCAGTAATACAATTTTTAAGCAATTTGGAATGATTTAATGACTATATAGACAGCTTGTATTCTTTAAACTGTATTTTCTCAGTTTGCATTTTTTAAATAAATTCTTTTATTTAAAGTCCTAAAACTTATATACATATGGCCTAAACTATTTAATACTTTTACTGCTTAATTAAAATCATATACTTTATAGAAATAAGAATGCGTTTTACAAAATACTGAAAAGAAAAATTATTTGAAGTGGGAATGTAATAGAGATATTTGTTTCAAAGTTTTTGCATAAAAATGTGTTTTTATTTTTTTTTTTCTCAGAAACTAATTCATTAATTGCAAAATCTATCCTTAAAGTTATTAAGAACTTCCTAATAAATACAATAAGAAAATAGGGGGAAAATCATTGAAAATTGTGAGAGAAGAATGACATTTTAATTGTTAAACGTTTCTTCCAAAAATTGAAATTAAAAAAAAAAAAAAAAAAAAAAAAAAAAAAAAATTGACAATTTTTTAAAAATTATTTTGTGTTACAAAACTGTTTAATAACATTTATAGAACTAGATGAAAGTTCTTAAACAAACAAACAAACAAACAAAAAAAAAAAAAAAAAAAAAATTCGAAAGGTATTAAATCCTCTAGTCGAGTTGAAGTCGATATGCGCGTCTTTAGTTTTATTTGAACTGTATTTCTGGAATACCCGGCATCAGATAGCATTATCCGTACTTGTTTACAAATTTCCATATTTCATACGGTTCTATGTAATTTTTTTGGATGATATTGCGTCCTCAGATATCTACCAACGCGATTGTTTTGCTGACAGTCCAGCGAGCAGTCATTAAGTGAACCTCGCCGTCACGCAGTGCAGTATGGGAAATCTATCCCGAGATGTAGGAATGCCCTGCTCCCGAGAGGTAGGAATGTTCTACATCCAATTCGGAGAAGCAGTTAATGCTTGTCGTCGTGTGATCGGGACATATTGAAAAAACCAGTTTTCACCACCGGTCGAAGCTGCTCTTGTAAATGGGGCTTATAAGCTGAAAAATATAAACGAGAGTTTTAGCTTTGTTGTATTTTTTTAATAACATACTAATTTGTATTCAATATGAATATTGCTTACATTAATCAATATGTTAATAATTTCTCTTGATGTCTCAGTATGTTAATAAACTTCTTTCTGTGATAAAAATTGAAAAAGTATTTATTCAGTTTACGTAAATTGGAAACACTGTTAAAGTCATAGGAATATCATTCTTTAGAATTTAAAGTTTTTCAGTATGAAGAAATCTCAGTAATTTTATTTCAATCAGATTTCTGGAAAATGAAGGTATATTCTCAATAGGTGACTAAATTTCATAATGCATATCAGTTATTATTTTTTCCCTGGTTTATTGAGAAAATATATAATTATAAGATTTTTATAAAAATGGACTGAATTTTGTTATTTAATGTATTACTTTTATATTATATTTTCAACAGCTGAACAGTAATATCATTAAAATCCAAAAATAAGGAATATGATCAGATTCCTATTTCAAGGTCATAATCCATACCAGAATGGCATTTGTTCTACAAATTCATTATGCAGGACACTATTTCCCTTTAGTTATAGTGGGTTTAACTTTTATTTATTTCCAAGCCCAGTTCAGTATCACAAAATATCATGGAAAATTTGAAATAACTAAATAAATAAAAATATTGAAACCCCTATCAGTATTGGAAATGCAGGGAATTTATCAATTTATTAGCTATAAAAATATTTATATACACCATGTATGTCCACAAATGTTATATATTCCCAGTCTTCCATTGGAGGTGGAGTTTCTCCCACTTCTTCAGGATGGTCTTGTACTACAACTTGGCTGTGGCCTAGATAATTTCACACTTCATCAAAGTGTCCATGATGGTTCTGACAGGCATGGATGTTTTATAATCCTCAGAAGAAACTTCCCTCCAGACTTCCTCATAATTCTGTTCAAACAGGACTTGCAATTCTTCAGTGGTAATGTAATATTTAAAAATATGTTTACTTGGTAATATCAACATAATGTAGTTTTCAGTGGTTTGATGCTAATTTTTTTTTAATTAGGCAGAAAAGCAATGTTAATTTTTAATAGATTTTGGATAAAACTCTGCTGCTTTTGAAGAGCCTGTGGTTACTCTAGCGGTGGCACTATCATACTTTAAATATTATGTTTTATGTCTCATATAATATTAGCAAATGTGCTTATTTGCTGACTGTTCTTGTTATTTTCTTACAGACATGTTGTCTGTATTTATGTTGCCTTGAACAGAAACTAAAATTTAATTCTTCTTTTAATGTATGAATAATGTGTGACAATTTTCACAGACATTCATAATGAAGTTTCTTCAAGAATGTATTTTTGGGTCTGTGCATATCTTTGTTTTGCACAGCATTTGTCTCAAGGCACACTGTACCGCAGATGCAGGTTTTGATTAAATCACTTTAGATAATTAATATTTGCTGCTAAAAATAGGCTATATTCACTTTATAAAAATTTTAATATGGCCAGAATCAAAGTTTTTTATAATTGAATGGGTTATGTAATTTGCACCATAATTATAAGGTATGTGATCTTGTTATGATGAAAGCATCTTTGAAGAATGAAACAAAATATATATATATATTGAAATATAAGCAGTCACGCTTTTTTTTTTTTTTTTTTTTTTAAATTTTCCATTCAAGCTTATCATAGTAGGTGTAATAGGTTTCATTCCTGCTCTGGTCTTTGTTACTCCCTACTCATCCAATATGATGTCTTCAAGAATCTTCATCCCAACTTTTATGAGATATAACCCTTCAACTAATTTTGAAATTTCACCATTCCCTTTCTACTGTAGGCTTTTCATCAGACTCTGTAATTTCTTCAAGATTGCTGTAATGCCAGAATTATGAAAATTATTAAACAGGAGTTCCTGTTTTTGATTTATGAAAAAATTTCCCTTTGAGCATGTCTTTTCCGAGCTGGGCTAGTAAATATAATTGTAGTATAGTAAATTATATTATACAGTGAAGTGAGATTTTGCATTCAAAAGACCTTTTCCTTAAATTTCTTTGTTTTAAACTTACTGTGTAAATTTTTTATAGTATTATTTTTTTCTCTCTTGCACTTTTTTTTCATCAATTTGTGAAAAATTAATTTATTTCATTCCAGGTACTTTTTTTGGGACCAGTGTCTCTTCATTATAGTGATGGAATTTATAATAAATTTTTTGGTAGTAAAAGTTTTGTTTATTTTCATATGGCTTTCTTATTTTTTTTATTCAATACTGATTTTTTTTTTTTTTTTTTTTTTTTATCATAGTGCAGAGAATGAAATTTTTATCACATAATTTCAGATTTAAATTTGTGGATATACTGCCTAACTAATGTTGTTTGGTTAAGAAATCATGTGATAGTAAGTATTTATATATACACTTAATACCCTTTTAAATGTTATATATTAATGAAATAATTCCCATATTACAGGATGAATTACTGAAAACTTGCACCAAAATTATTTCTGAAGTAAAAGGTGCTATTGATGTGCTGATTTCACAGAATGGAAATTTATACAAGGGCTCATAATTTGAGCCCATACACGAATTTTAATAACTATTCTAGCATTCTTGGAAGTTAGACATCAGGTGATTAATATACGTGTTGGAATACAGAGTTCCATCTATGAACAAAGGGCCTAGAATATGATCATTAAATATTCCACTCACCCATTTACACTTCATAAACACTGGTAGTACTTGATGAAGACAATTGGGATTATTTATTGACCAGTAGTGCATCTTTCTGCAGTTGACATGACCGTGATTTATAAAATTTACTTATCACTAAACAAGATGTGTAACAAAGCTTATGTATATATTGTAATACACAGATAGAAAAGTTAACACAATTTCCAACATCATCTCCATGCAACTTGAGAGAGAGCTATATGAAACAGATGAAATATATGACAGTAGAGTATATGTAACACACTTGGCTGATAGATGCCACTTTGTCTTGCAGTGTCCCGGGAGCAAATTTGCAGACCTGCAGCAATGGCGGCCTTAATTTCATGCTCTTCTCTAGTCATTCATTTGTTTCTGCAGTGCTTTATAAATATTACATTTCCAGTTTCCTGCAATTAGTTAAAAGGGATTACAAATAGTTGTTGAGATGGTTTTGCAGCTGTTGGGATATCTTTCAGCATTCATGTTACAGAAACAACTTTCTTCCTACATTCAACTTTTTTAGCATTAGTAAGTACCATCTTTTAGCATATCTCGTTTCCATAAACTATCACAAAGTACTGAGTGAGAAGAAAGCAACCAGTGCCAAGCAGTGTAAAGGAAAGTAAATATAGGCAAACATGTGAACATCCATAACCAGTAACTATGCCATTAAATGAGCAGACAACTGTTGGTATTTACAATTTTGATAGCATGCTAGCTCTATAAACTGCTTTCTCTAGAATTCTAAAAAAAAAAAAAAAAAAAAAAAACCACTAACATTTTCATTTCTTCTAGTTTTATCATATTGATGTCAGTAGGCATTGTTCTGTTTGAAAGAACATAACCTTATTAACAAAATACACAATTTAATAATTATTAAAATTCAGGCATGGGCTCAAATTATGAGCCCTTGTGTAAATTTCCATCCTGTGAAACCAGCACATCATTAGCATTTTTCATTTCAAAACTAATTTTGGTGCAAGTTTCAAGTGATTCCTCCTGTATCTGCCATAAATGCTAAGGTATTGTATTATTTCCACTGAAAGAATGCTTAGCCAATATAACTTTGAGTCAGGTGATCAGGTGTGCTATTCTGGTGGTTGGAAGAATATTTAATGAAAAAATAAAATATTGTTGTGTGCGTACGGGTTTGTTACAAAATGAATGCACGAGTCCGATGAAAAGTGAGCAAAATTTATTATTATCACAACAAATATGCTTAAATTCCTCAAATTATTGTGTAGTATTACAATATCTCAGAGTAGATATCTTTAAACTACTCAAACGTTCAATAGAGCTTAATTCAAAACAGCTAAAGAAAGCTAATCCGCGAATTCACTACAATCAACAAGAGCAGTTTTCTAAACAAACTCTTAAAACAACAACAAACTAAGTAACTAACTACGAATTGAGAGGTTTTGTTCCTTTTATAAGCTTTTAAATACCGCGCAAGAACTTTCTGGAACTGTCTCGAAATCAAAAAGGGATATTTATTAAATATTAAATGCACGCACTCTTGTATTTTAAATTTTCTGGCTTAGCTTTCTTTTAATATTCGTCACACATTGCACTGTGCGGAGAATAAAACCATTTAATTTATTATTCAACAAACATTAGCTATTTAAATACCAAATCCGTAACATTGGCCCCTTCCCAAGGACTGCACGAACCGGGCAGTACAATCCCTGGACAGGAAGCCAAACTTGAAACTAACACATAAATACAATAATAAGCATTACATTACAATAACAAACAACATGAACAATAAATGCAATAAATAAAACAAATCAAATGCTATCGAATACAAAATACAAATCAAATACTAAATACATATTTAAAAACAAAAAGGACCATGGTCTTACACTATTTACAATTATTTACACTACGTACTATGGCCATAGTAATGAGCTAACCTAACCTGTCGTAAAGAACGACTTTAAGTTCTTTACGACAGAGTTCGAAGACTTACGGATCCAAACTACGAGGTCATTCAGCCTGTTTAGGACCATGTATGAACCATCCCAAGATGACTGTAATTTAGGTCTGACTCCTTTTCGTTGAATCAGGTTCCACAACCACACTTTGTCTTCTTTGTTGAACTGTGTGCCACACTTTGTCTTCTTTGTTGAACTGTGTGCAGTAGCTTTCATGTCGTATCTCGTCTTCACTTTCTCCGTCGTCAAGTTGACTCGCTTTCATGCAGAAGGTTGCATCACTTCAAACTGGGCCTGGACATCTTGGATGTGTTCCTCAGGCGATGAAGGCGCATCCATATGGCGATCAAACAGGCGGTCACAAGACAGATGAAGGTCTCAACCGAAGAGCATCTGAGATGGATAATAGCTGGTAGTCTGATGTTTCTCTCCAACCCTAGTATGATTTTGGCAGCTTTCTGAGTAGGGTCTTTCACATGAGACGTCGGCATTTCCAAGTGATGATCCCTTTTGAGGATGGATCAGTCATGTCACTCAGGTGCTGAAAAAACATTTTGTTGTTTTTGAAGTCTAAGGAAAAATTATCCATTTCCTTAAAAAGTCCAATCCGAGTATACATGGATCTGTAATATCCGGCATATAAGCCGTGTGATGGTAGGCGGCATGTCCAAACGTGATGTTCAGGTTTAAATTCCCAGCTATGTCGATTTTATCGCCAGACGCCATCTGAAGGGTAACACAGGAGGGCGTCCAAATAAGTTTATCTTTAAACAGTTCAGTTAAATCTTTTCTAATGATGGTAACATTAGCTCCTGTGTCAATGATCATATTGCAAGGAACTCCATCGATTTGCCCGTTGATGGATAGTCCGTTACTGTTGCCACTCACTGTAGAAATCTTGAGTGCTTTAAAACAAGGTTTTTCATTATCTGGCAACCTCTGTTCCTTGATAAGGTCATTAATTTGTTTCTGCGTCGTTGCTGAGAAATGGTCTCAATTTTCGTACCCTGGGGTGTTCTGCAATTCTTTCGTACATGGCCTGCAGCTCCACAGTTCCAGCACTTTGGTTTCTTGTCAATCCTTTTCCTTGCCGTGGCATCTAATTGTCTGTTTAAATCATATGCCTTATTTTCCATGCTCTGGGGTGTTCTGCAGTTCCTTCGTAGGGGCTTTCAACGCCGCAGTTCCAGCACTTTAGGGTTGGTTTCTTTTCCCCTTTATTCCGTCTCAAGGCATTCACTAGTCTTGTCAACTCATCCGTTTTATTATCCGTGCTCTGGAGTGTTCTGCAATGCCGTTGTAGGTCACCTTCAGAACCACATCTCCAACACCTTACAGCCACTTTGTTCTCACTGTTACTCCGTATCAAAGCGTCGATTTGTCTGGATAAGTCATCTAAATGAGCCATCAATTGATCCACTGGCTCTTGGACTCGCACAGCTCTGACTGGGTAGTGATCTCTACGAGTTGCTTGCTGGGCTGAGTGGTGAGATGACAGGCCTTAGCTTGGGAATTCCATCCGTTTGCATCTGCAACTATAGAAAATTGGGTATTATACACTTGCCAGGATGTCTTGCCATCATATGTGGATAGCTTCAGAAATAGACGAGCAGGCATCAGCATCGGTAAGAATTCAAAACACTCAGAATTGCTTTCTTTCTAACGCTTTGCTCTTCTTTAAAGTGTTAACTTCTTTGGCAACAGCAGCAGAAACCCTTTCCTCAATTTGTTGTGGACGGCAGAAACTCTTTGTTCAATTTGTTGCTCTACTGCAGAAACTCTCTCTTGAATTTCTCCAACTTTGTCTTCAACTGTATCTATTCTTCCTTCCAAAGCTTCGAACCTGTTTTCTATTATGCAAGTAATTTCTCTCTTCAGTTCCTCTTGACCTACTTTCATTTACTCTTTAACAGATTTCATCTCTCTTTTAACGAATTCTTCCATTCTTTTCTGACTAGCTTCCATCTTTTCTTTCATTTTTTCCTATCCCGTTTTCATTTCTTCCTGTCCCACTTTTATTTCTTCCGGTCCTGCTTTCATTTCTTCCTTAAATGAGGTAAAGGCTGATAACTGCCTGAAGTGTTCTTCCATCAGTCTTGTTATTGGCATTCAAACCCCACTCCTGACACCAAAAATTGTTGCGTGCATACGGGTTCGTTACGAAATGAATGCACGAGTCCGATGAAAAATGAACAAAATTTATTATTATCACAACAAATATGCTTAAATTTCCTCAAATTATTGTGTAGTATTACAATATCTCAGAGTAGATATCTTTAAACTACTCAAACGTTCAATAGAACTTAATTCAAAACAGCTAAAGAAAACTAATCCGCAAATTCGCTACAATCAACAAGAGCAGTTTTCTAAACAAACTCTTAAAACAATAACAAACTAAGTAACTAACTACGAATTGAGAGGTTTTGCTCCTTTTATAAGATTTTAAATAGCGCGCGAGAATTTTCTGGAACTGTCTCGAAATCAAAAAGAGATATTTATTAAATATTAAATGCACGCGCTCTTGTATTTAAAATTTTCCGGCTTAGCTTTCTTTTAATATTCGTCACACGCTACACTGCGCGGAGAATAAAACCATTTAATTTATTATTCAACGAACATTAGCTATTTAAATACCAAATCCGTACAATATGCCAAAAATGCTGCTTTTTCACTTTCAATAATTGAAAGGTCATCAACCAGAAACTATTGTGCAGAATCAATCAAACTGTTTCACAAGCAAGCCTTGCTATATTAGCTGTCAAAATGTATACTGATTATGTGGCTTAAGTGTGAAGTTTCTGTGAAAAAATACATTTAAGGTCTCTGTTTGAAAAAAAACAAAATTACTTTCTGAACAACCCAGTAGGTAGTATAAACAGGTTTACATAGTTTCAGGATCCATTTAGACCCAAAACTGTATCTGAGTGTAGTTTCATAGGGGAAAAAAATCTTATTGAGTTGTTTAATATTTTTAAGGTGAATTTTTTTTATAATTTAATTTAACTGAATTTAGACATAAGTAAAAGATGAGTATCAGTTGCTAATTGGTAAAGCTGAGTGAACCTAAATTATTGTAATTGTAATGCCATGTTTGCATAAAGCTGGATGCTAACTGTTGAGTTCTGTCTCAGCATGTGTTAAACATGATTCGAATGAGAGTAAGCTGTACTGTACAGTATAAAGTGCATATGGTATATTATGCACTAGAAAAATTAAGCAGCAAGGAAGAAGCTTTCTGAGAGGAAAAAACATGTCTCTGGATTTAAAGAAAGGGTGTTTTTGAGAAAATAACCTAAAACTGCTAACAAGATATTATTTCTTCATTGGCTGTAAGTCCTGGTATTAAATTTTATAATTCCAAGCTAGAAATAATTAGATACTTTTTTATGATATTAACAAATAAATACTTTGTGAACCTTAAAACTCGCAATTTAAACCTTGATTTGTTGGTCAAGTTTAATATTTATTAAGGAATAAAAATTCAGTTTGGGTTAACCTCAGATTTACTTTGTGCCTTGATAGCTATCAATGAATATATTCTTTTCTTTGAAACAATAAATAATACCATAACTGTGTGTTTTATTAAGTTAATTTTTGTATTGTTTAGCAAATGTGATTACTAACTTAAAAAAAAAAAAAAAAAAAAAAAAAAAAAAAAAAAAAAACCTTTTTAAACAGGAGTAGAAATGTTTGTGAATAGTTTCAGTTAAAAAAAATCTTTATTTTAAATCTTAATATATTGAAGTGACTTAGTTATTTAAGGTTAAGTTAGATTAAATACTCAAGGCAAATCTCATGAAGGCTATCTGCCTGAGGGGAAGCCTCTATGAGAGACTGTCTTAGGAAAATTAATTTGTATTCACATTCCACATGGAAAAAATTACAAAAGTACCCAAGTAGCTTATTGCTGGAGTTTAAATAATGTGCTTTTTAAGCAAATCTTACTCAATTTTTTCATCTAATAAACAGTGAACATAAAATCTGAATGTAAGGGAATTCAGGTTTTTAATTTGCCATCATGTTATAATTCTGCTTTGAATATTGTTTTCTGTCAAAGTAAACTAAGGCTGTCATGTTTTAATGCAGTGATAATTTGGGGAAATTGCTAGTATTTTATGCTATACTATATAATAAAGATTAACCAAATATCCATGTTTAAAAATATATAAATTTACAGTTTTCTGAAAAGTTAAAGCAAGTGTGGTATTATTTACAAAAGTAGTAATAAAAATTACTGTAATTTTTTAAAGGAAAAATTTTTGCTGTATATTATTTTCTATAATAATACAACTTTTTAAAAATATATACGTAATTTTTGTCTAGGCTCCGTTTTTTGAAGAATTTACTTTCAGAGCATGCATGTTGCCAATTTTAGTGCCATGTTTTGAATACGGAACAACTGTGATTTTATGTCCAATTTTCTTTGGCATTGGTAAGTTATTTTAGTTGATTATGCCAACAATAGTTTTTATAATCAAGACGTGCAAAAGTTTTGCTGTTTTGTACACAGGGCAACTACAGTGTGTTTTAGGGCTGAATTTTTCCTGTTAATGCACTGAAGCTACTATATGCTAATTAAAGTTATCTTATTTCACATAAAAATAATCTGCATAGAGAAAGGATTTTAAATAGAATCGTCTATTTAATTATGTATAATTGTCTTATACACTGTAACTTCACAGACTGAGAAGCAATAATGTTTTCTTTCTGCAGTGTAATTATTCTTAACCCTATTTCTTATTTATGGGATTGGGCATCTATGAGCTACAATCTGTTCTTTAGAGCAAGACCTCAGTTTAGTGGTCATCTTTTAAGACCAATTTATTTACTCAAGATGTATATAATTAGGGAGTGTTCATTTCATAGTTAGGTCATTTCTAGTCCCCTATTCCAGTAGTTAATTTCAACACAGGCATTTAGAAGCTCTCTGATTGTAATGACAATTGTAGTATTACAAGGTATGCATGTAGAAAGCTAAATAAGTTCTTTTTCTCAGAGCTTGATTTATTAAGAATTCATTTTTTGTAGATGCAGTGTATATTTCTTCAAGTAGCTGAAGTTTTTATGCTTCAAAAATGCAAAACAATTCCAGCTTTATTAGAATGATTGTTATAAACCTTATTAGAATAATATTAAAAGTAACTTTTTGATTGCTGTATACTCTATTTTTATTTCATTATATTTAAAAAAATATTTCTTAAGGTTGCAGCTCTCCCTTTGATTTATGTTTGTAACATTTCTTCATGCTGCTTTTAACTTATTTTTCTTACTTATTGAAACTATAATTCAAATCATTCTCTTTCAGTACACTCTTGCCAACATTTGATTTTTTTCATATGCTTACATATTCAGTGGTTTTGTGCCAAAATGGCTTTCTAATTTTTCTTTTAATGTAGAGAAGCAATAGTTGAAGTGACAGCCAGTAGTAGATCTGGCAGCATCTAAATTAATTAAAATTATAATATAAAAAGTTCAAAAATGAATTTTATTGCATTTAAAAATGGAATCATGATTTATGCTTAAATTTAAATAGCTGTTAAAGTTATTCCTTTAAAATATTAAAATCATTTTACTATTCAGAAACATATTCATTTAAATAGTAAATAACATTTAAATAGTAAATACATTTAAATAGTAAGTAAAATAGGAAAATTTATTCTAAATTAACGTGTTGTTTGACATTTCTAATTTGAAGGAAAGAGTGGAATTTTGAAAAGCAGTGCAGGAAAAACTAGTGAACAAAAACTTCCATGTATATTTTAGACATTAATTTATAATTTTTAATGAACTTGAATTTATTTTTGCAGTTGGTGTTATAAAATTTGTGTTTTGGATATTAATAATTTTAATTTGTATAGTGTTGCCTGAAAGACAAAATCTCTATATCTTAGATGAAAATAAAAATCTAAAATAATAAATAAATTGTATCTTAGAAAAATTCTCTAAGTAGTGATTAATAGCTAAAATGCAATTGTATTTTGTATCTCTTACTATGTTTTTTTAGTTAATAATCACTGTTTAAAAGCAAAATATCAAACATAAAATATGTTACAGATTTCTGAATTTTGATAATTTAGTTCAGCCTTATACATATGTAAAATATAAAAATTGCGATGGCTTTGCTCTGTGCGAACAGGCAACCTATAATTAACTTTTCACAATTTCAGGATCTTTCCCCTAGACCAGTACTTTCTAGAACATTCTGGCATGTTATACTAACTAGTATAACATGTATAAACTAGTATAAATACTGAGTGCATGCCATTTTTTGTCAGACTGTTTTTCTTTTATCGTTGCTGCCAGACCTTGCTGCTGTTCTTTCCATCTGTCTTCCTTTTGTTAGAACAGTTATGACGTAGAAAGTCTAAATTTAATCTTACTTAGTGTAAATCACTATTGAATATGTAATTTGGAGATTTTCACCTAAAGGAAAAATTATCTGCTCTGAGAATTGAATAAAGATTTGGTGTCATTTTGCCACCTTCCACTCAACCACAACAGTGCTCTTCTTCTTCAATGGCCAGACAGCCCAGGATGGGCCCTTGCCTTCTCCAGAATCGATTTCCAAGCTCTTCTATCTCTGGCCATGGACATTCACTTGGTTATTTTTAAAATTCTTAAGTCTGTTTCCAAACAGTTGAGCCACCTTAAGTTTAGGTCTCCCTCTTTTTCGGGTGCCGAATGGTTTGGCCGAGAAGATCTTTTTAGTTACTTGATTTTCATCCATTTTGCACAGGTGTCCTGCCTATTTAATTCTCTGAATCCTTATATATTTTATTATATCTATTATTTAAAGGATTTATAGAGTTCAGAATTAGTGCTCCTTCTCCAGATATTGTTACATTTTATGCCACCAAAAATACTTCTCAAAATTTTTCTTTCAAAGACAGAAATGATACTTTTAGCTTTATCTGTCATTGCCCAGGTCTCAGCAGAAATTAAATTGTAAATTAAAATCTTTGTTTTTCTTCTAGTGAAGTTAGACTTCAAGTACTTTTTGAGACCGAAAAAACGTTGGTTAGCATCTGTGACTCTACTATGGATCTCAGGCATTAAATCATTGAGAGCATTAATTTCTGATCCTAAATATTTAAATTTGCTAACAGTGCAACAGTTCTGTGATGTAGTTATATCGTCAAGCTTTGTCATTCCTTCACTTTTAGACAAAGACATGCAATAGTGTTTTAGTAAAATTTCTCCATATTTATCTGATAACTACTGAGGGTGTTTACATGTTTTAAGATCAATTTTGATAAAAAATAATTTTAAAAAAAGAAATAAAGCAAGTGTTTTGAAATAAAAATTTCTGGCCGTAGCTTATTATTTGAAATGAGATATATTGTTTGCTTCTTTAAAAATTTATCCTTCTTTCAAAATGCCACATGTAAATAAGCCATGGATTGAAGGATATGCTTTTATGCTTTCCAAAAAGAATATTTTTTCCACAATTAAAAAACACTGTGAAATTCATGGTATTAAGTTTTATAAGTTCAAAATAAGCAATGCTACTAATCAGAATGGGAAAATATGAGTCAGTACTATATTAAAAATTACATTAATTATACATTAAAAGAAAACTCCAAACGAATACCCAAAAAAGGTATGTACTGAAAAAGGTTCAAAAGTTAAATTGTTGCTAATTGAAAAAAATCCTGCTTCACAGAAATCAAAGTCTTTAAATCGTTTGTAGCAAATATAATTGAAATAAACTAAAATTTACAATTTAAGCAAGCTAAAATACGGAACATTTACCAGCTTTTGCCAAGGCACATGGTGCATTATAGAACGATTTGTAGAACCCTGTATGAAAACTGTTTATCAGGAGATAAGTGGAAATACTTTGGGGCCTTTGATAAAGCATGTGTTTATGTAAATGACTGCCCCTTCCCCCAAAAGAAGGTCTTTTTATTATTGAAAACAAAGTTACAAAAATGTACAAACTTGACTCCATCAATGCAAAGAAAGCTTCAGTGGGGGGTTTTATGATTGTTGCAGGATTCTTTTACAGTGTGAAATTAAAAATAAGATGAGTGGGGGAAAATATTAAAATTATTTCCACATACTATCAAGAGAAAGTTATACATAGATCACTCTGAAATTTTTTAAATATGTGCAGATGATTAGTGACAGAAAAAAATTAATGGTTAGATTTGAAAATATGAACTATTTTAGCCTAGCAGATGATTTTTTATTGGCCAGTTCCAAGTAGTTCAGTGTAGAATAAATATTAGACAGAAGGAAAAAGGGAGTTGATATGAGAATATTATCGAGCTGCAATTTTCTATGATTTTAAAGTGGGATTAAATCAACATCTACAATTAGCATTTGGAAATGAAGATGCTACTTATGCCACTGTATTCATATGGTTTACAGAATTTCACAGAGGTCGCCCTTCTCTTCAGGATGAAGAAAACACAGGAAGGTAATCCCGGATAATGTGTCTGCTGTAGGAAAAATATTAATCGATGATAATTGCTGTACCTACCAAATGAAACAGAAGGATCCGCCGCCATACATAAAATTATTTATGAAAAATTGTATATGATAAAACTTGTTTGCCATTGGGTTCCCCATAATTTAACTGAGTGCCAAAAAGAGGAGCATGTAAGAATCAGTAAAGAAACCCTTAAAATACCTAAAGATGGTGGCCACCACATTATTTATAAAATCGTAACTAGTGATGAAATGTACATGCCATCTTTTGACCACAGTTAAAATTTAGTTGAAGTTGTATATTGTCGATGTTGTACTTGTTAAGTACCATGTAATTCTGATGATTAATAAAGATGTAGGAGCCGAGATATAAAGTAAAAAAAAAAAAAAATTACCTGATGTGCAGCTTTGACCTCAGTGGGGTATAAACTTTCAACGGTTTCAGATTCTTCAGTTTTTTTTCCTTTGAAGATAAGGTTAGAGCTGTGATTTGATGAATTCCTGTCTGTATTCAGTTTCAGTCTTCCTTAGATAGTAGTTATAAATGTTTTGCACTAGTTAAGAGAAGTAGGCTAGGAATGTTTTGTCTGAGAAGAATAAAAAATAATTGAAGAAGATAATAGTAGAATGATAAATGAGCTCATGAGTAATTGTTCTGGTAGTGAAGACTCCGTGGGTGTAGCGATTTGTATGCCAAATTTTGGCAGAGCCTGAATTGGAAGCCTGTTTTGCTTTCACCTCATGGTCCAACACTACAGTGAATACTTTATCCTGAACTCAATCTGGGAAGTAATTGGAGCCATGCGAATTTACTAAAATTATAGTAGATTTAATAGGGATCTATGTAATGAAATTGAATTTCTTCACTTGGTTTTTGATGATGACATAATGAAGATAATAGTTGAAGAAACTAATAATTTATATGAAGAGAAAAAAACCATCTTCTTCAAAATCTGCAACTCTTACTCATGCAGATGTGTCTAAAATGAGAAGATTCTTGGAATTAATTATTCTAATGAAAAAAATGAAAAGGTCTAACCTTAAAAATGCATTTCACAACTGCTAGTTGCATCATTCTTCAATAGCCTGCTCTCTCAGGATATTTTTCTGACTAATTGTAGTTTCCACATTTTAGTGGATAGTGATGCAAAAAAAGTTAGCTGAATTGGGATGCCTTATCAAAAATTTACAGAACAGATAGATGTAAAGCAATTTATGTATTGATGAGTCTCTTTTTGCATGAAAAAAATTCTGCCTGTACATCCCATCTAAAAGGTCTCATTGTTGAATTAAAATATACAAACTCTGCCAATTGGAGTCTGGATATATCTGGAATTTTTTAGTTTACAGTGTTAAAGACACAAACCTGATAACTAACAATGGTTCTTATGATAAGCAAATAGTGAAAATGTTAATGGCAGATTTGTCTAACAAAGGCTATAATTTATATTTAGATCTTTTTTTTTTTTAATTCACCACCCCTTGCTGAATATTTTAATTCACTCCAAACAAACATATGTGTGCAGTTCTTATAATGCAAAAGGAATGCCAAAAGGTTTTATGCAAACAAAATTGAAAACAAGGAGAGCTGGTTGCAATGCAGAGAGAGAGAATATAATATAAATGTTTTCAAAGAAAAAAATTATTATTATTATTATTTCTTTTTAATTACTGTACCTGTTTTGATATGGCTAAACGTGCTCAATATAGGACGAAAAGACAGCAAACAGTAGAGAACATTCTAAAACTGAAATGTACCTCAGACGACAATACAAATATGAATGGTGTCTCTGACTGAAGTATGAAAGTCCCATCTCTGATTTTTTTTCTAATGGAATTTTAGAATATATCAGTATGACTTGACATTAATCAGCCACCCTAAGAGAGCCTTAAAATTTCTCATCAAGGTGTCGGAATCATGTGTTAAAAAAGAAGAAATAAACAAAGTGTGATTTCAAATCAAAGTTGGACTCTTAATCATAATTTTGAACTAAATCTGCAAAAAGTATCCATAATATTTCATCAGTTAGTAAACTGAGTTTCTTTGAAATCTTTTACATTAACAGAATTTACATTAATTTTCCAATCTAGCTCTTCCCAGTGCTTTCCAAAATCAAATATCTCAGTTTATTCACATTTCATTACTATTTTTCTCAACAGATCTAGCTGCATTTGCTTTTGCTTTGCTCCACATATTGCTTTCTGTATAAACTTGTTTTGCTTCTTCCATTGTTCACATTTTCTTTCTCCCTACTGAGATAGAGGAACTTATGGCTGATCTCTCTCAAAAATGATATCAAAACCTATGTCTACCTAAGGTTTCTTTTCTGTCTAATTTTAAAATCTATGTGTGTTTAGCCTTAAGGAAAAACACAAATGTGATACTTGCCCTTAAATCTTCTTATACAACCTGGAAGCAGCCTTTAATTGGAAAAATACAGGCAAATTTTACTAAAATGTTATTGCATCCTTTTGTTCAAATGCATGTGTTGTAAAGGTGTTATAGGTTAAATGTGCTGAAGGAAAGTATTGTCTAAATATCCATGTTGGCTGAATGTCCTGTTGGTTAAATTTCTGTGTTGTCTAAGTGTCAACAATTGGAGCAGGATATCTTTCGAGAAGACTGTAAGGAAAGCTGTCTTATATATTCATATTACACATTGGGAAAACTTGTTTTTATTCTATTGGAACTAAGAACTGAAGCCAGCATGAGCTACTAATGCTAAGCAGTCTGTTATGTAGCCATTTGTGCACCTAAATGTTACTGAATATTTTCGGAACATTGGAGACATGTATGTCTCGTATACTATATAAATTAACTTCACGACTTCTTAACTGTGTGTGTACTGTACTGTATTATCATGTTCTTATTATCTTAAAGGGAGGAAAATAAATAATTTAACAACAAGTTTAATTTTATTTGGTCTAGAAAGAATACTGTACTATCTAAGCAACAGGAGTTTGACTATATTAAATATATATTACAGGATGCAGAATGACAGACTTTATATTTATAACTATTTATTAATGTTAAATTGTTGTATTCTGCATCAGGGTGAACTATATTTATGAAAGGCTGAAATGCCTGTGATGAATACATTTTCGATTGAAAAGTAATGAACGTGTATAATTGTTCATTGCATACTTGTATGATTCTGTAATATTTTGCAGAAATAGTTTTAAGATTACAATTTTGTATTCAGAATGTGCTCTTGAATACAAATACATATTTTGTAACTAAAAATAATATATACATAGTATGCTCAAATGGGATACAAGGTAATATGCTTATCAATACTGAATCGATAATATAATACAGTATGTTCAAATAACACTGAAGCAGATGTTCCAAAGTGATAAAAGTAACTATAGGTAAAAACTCCAAAATTAGAAAGTCTTCAGCCTCATTTTGTATTTTGTTAAAGTTTATGGGCATAAAATTTTATTTTATTTATTTATTTCAATATTATTCTTTTAGCTCATCTTCATCTTTTGAATGAAAAGCTAGCTCATGGAGCTAAGTTCAAAGTAGCTGTTTTACAGTCTTGTAAGTAATTTTGTATTATCTGAACTTACTATCTGACATTAAAATTTGTTTTATATTGGGGGTTAGCTGTATTCTGGGTTTAATACATATATTTTCTCCTATATATATTATTTTTTCTTTAATAAATATATTTCCTAGTATTTCAGTTTGCTTACACTACAGTTTTTGGTGCTTATTCAACATACTTATTCTTACGAACAGGTAAGTTGGATGAAAGTACTTTTCTTTATTTCTGTAATACTCAGTTTCTGTATAATACATATTATGTATTCATTTATCTTTGAAATGTTATACAGATAACCTTTGCTGAGCATGGATTTGTGGAATGTTATTTTGCATATATATGTTACCTTAATTATTTCCATTTAATTTTTCTAATGGTAGATCTTTGTTCATATATGGTTCAATGTTCATTCATCAGTATTAAATGCTTGCTGGCATCAGCTGTGGCCAGAAGTTATCAACAATTTTAAAGGATTACCATTGATTAAAAATAAAGCCAAAAGAATTGTACAAATTTCTAAAATGCCTGGCAATGAAATATTTTCAGATAGGCAAGAAGAAGTCAAAGAATTCAACGTGAGATGCTGAATGAAAAATTGGATAATCTTATAACTCTGACTGTGAAAACAATGATATGAAGAAGATAAAATGCCTTTAACTTACAAGTCAAATGAATCATTAAAAATGACATAGGAAATGCCTGCTTTTGCAAGGAGATTGACCCAAATGAAGAAATCATAGGACACTATATGAGAGTCATTAAAAATCTCTGCACTCTTTATTGCAAACTATTATTTATTTATTATTATTTTCTTTACTCTTTTAAAGGGTTGCAGCACACATTGTTGTAAGCAATAGTCACCAGCTTTTTTAAAAAAATAATTGTAGCATAAATTTATTAAGGAGAAAAAATTCCATTCAATTTATGTATTATATTATATATATATTCCCTTTTAATTGCAACAGTATGTTTCCTTCAGTGACTTGACAGCCCTTGAGGACCCATGATTTCTTTAAAATTTGATTCTGGGATATTCTGCTCTCAGCCTTAGTCTTCCAGTTAATGAGGTTTAAGTTAGACAGGTCTCTGTCCAGACAATTTAGCCATGTGTGTTTTGGTTTTTCTCTTTTTCGAATGCTTTGGGGATATTATTTTGAACTTTTTTTCAGGCATTCTGATTAGATGACCAGCCCTTCTTAATCTTTGGGTGCTAATGAAATTTATGATGCCTGGATACCCATATGTTCTGTAGATTTTTGTACTAATACTTCACCATATTCATCTATTTGAATATCTCCTACAACTCTTCTCAAAATCTTTCTCTCAAAGACTGCAAGTATTTCTTTATTCTATTCAATCACTGTCCAGGTTCCAGTTCCATACATCAAAACAGGTCTAATTAAATATTTGTAAATTGTCAGTTTAGTTGTCCTTTTGATAAGTTTAATTTCAGATCATTCTTTAAATCAAAGAGTGCTATTATACATTTCAGAAAAGATATTGTTCTCTGTGTTAATTACACAGCCAGGATAGTTGAAACACTAAAAAATTTTCTATTTATGAATTTCTGAGAAGGAATGATTAAATTTTGGCCTAGTGCATGACATATAGTATTTAGTTTTTGTTTGTTTGATGCTAAGATGCATTTTAGCTGCTTTGGCCTCCAGAAAACTTTTTGCTAACAGATGTTATTGGATGTTTCTCACCTTTAACATTTATCTGTAATAATACAGTGCCATTACCAATATTCAAAACGTTCAAACTGTTCAGAAAAGTTCAGACTGTATAACACTGGATTTTCTGTTAAAAATTTCTTGATTTCATTAAAAGTGTTTTGGCACTCAGTCCAATTTATGGTTGATTTGAAACATTTTCCTTTTAACAAATCTCAGTGGTAAAGAAATCAGAAATATGCCTTCGATAATATCCCGCAAGTCCTAAAATTGACCGGACCTGTATTTTTGTGGTAGGTTTATTGAAGTCCTTTATGGCTTGGACTTTTACTTCTCCTGGTCTTCTTTGACCTACTACATGACCTAGATATTTGATGGTCGTATGAGCAAACTGACATTTTGAAGGCTTAATATGCAGTTTAGCAATTTTCATCTTCTCCAAAATAATTTCTAGGTGCTTCAGATGCTCTTCCTAGATTCATGAGAATACTATGACATCATTAATACAGGTACAGCGAATTCTTCACAGTTTTTTAATAATCCAGCCATCAAATGGCTAAAATCATGTGGTGCATTTTTTAGCCCGAATGGGTAACCTTAAGGATCTAATGTGCTAAAACTTGTCTCAAAAGCAGCATAACACTGAGCTCTTTAGTTAATGGGATTTGCCAGTAACCTTGAGTAAGATCTAGAATAGTTATATATCTTGCAGATGATGCTTTTTCTACTAAATGTTCAATGTTTGGCAAGGGAAAATATTGTGTCCAAGTTGCCTTGTTCAGGTGATGGTAATCAATGCATGGTCTTGCATTTTTTCCAAGAATTTCAACCAGTATGAGTAGAAAGGTAAAATCCAATTCATCTGCTTCTGTTACTTTGAGATTTGTCACCTTTCTCCTTCAGTTTTTAAAATCTTGGTTTTGCTGACAGACATCTGATAAGGTTTTGCACATATTGGTCTATCTGCTTCTAGTTTAATATCATGTTCAGTAAGGTCAGTACATCCTGGTTCATTAGAGATAATACAGGAATACTTGTATATCAACTGCTTTAAATCATTTAGTTGATCTTCAGATAACAGTAAATTCAACTGGATGCCTTGCAAAACTTCAGACATTTCAGTATCTGACTCATTATTTCATAGTCGTTTATCCTGTCTTTTAAACATAGCAAGTTTATATTTTCTGCTCATTGAAAATACTGTTTCAGCATATTAATGTGGTACACATGAGTTTTTATTTTTCCGGGAAACTCGATTACATAATTTGTCTCTGATAATTGTTGATTTAGTTTTCCAGGACCTATTCACTTAACTGATAATTTCGAAGAAGCCATAACTGGAACTAAGTCTCCTTCTTAAAATTTATGTTCTGTTTTTGCAATCATACCAGAGCTTTTGCCTTTCTTTGGCTTCTTCCATGTGCTGGAGAGCGAGTTCTTGACATCTCCTCATTCGATTCATTAGTTCAAAAACACAGCCCACTGACACTATTTTCTTCTTCTTTGCCAGATAATTTTTCATACAATAGCGTAATTGGAGTTCTTAAGTTTCCGCCATGAACTAATTCTGTTGGCATGAAACCTGTACTGTCGTTAATAATGGTTCGAAGGGCAAATAAAGCCTGATGTAGTATTTTATTCCAGTCCAGACCATATTCTGGACATAGGACTGTTCTTTGATCTATTGCACCAAGATATTTTACTGTACATTTATTTACAATTTATTTACAAATCGTATGCCACCTGGCATGTTTACAAGCGTTATGCCTCCTGGCATGTACATGATAGACATATTCTGCCACCTGGCATGTGAATTGATACATCATATTAGTTTTCTGCCACCTGACAGATACGATGCAATTACCTCAATTAGCGGTAATACGCCCGACATTTTGGCGTGTCCGCTTCCCTTACGTTCTGTAACGCAAACTAACTTTTTTGTGCGGTGCGCCCTCTGGGCACAAATCACCACAATCACCGAGGAGGCCAAAACATCCTCCCCCCCTCCGATGAATTACATTCATCTTAATACAATCTTCAATATATGCAAACAAGTAAATGAAAAATATAGAAACTGAAAACATACAAAAACCTTCAAAAAGTATAAAATTACATATCACACTTACCAATCTTCTAGCAAAACATCTTATATCTTACTATATTGAAACGTTAACTATGAGGGTTAAACTAGAACAAACAAATAAAATTATTAGTACAATAAGAAATAAAAAAATAATAAAACATATTCAATATAAACCAAACACTTAAGTTAATGTTCTTCAACTGGTAAAAGACACAGTTTGGTAATAGGACGTTTAATGTCCCCGTGCACAGTTTTTAGTCTAACCACTCGGACATTATTGTCTCTTCCAGGAAACACTTCTCTATTACTCGCCCGAGTTTCCAACGTAATGAAGGCATATATCTTCTTTAATGAGAACCAAGTCATTTAGGCGAATATTTCTGCTAGGCTGTTTCCATTTGCTACGCTGCTGTAGTTGGCACAGGTACTCCTTACACCACCGATTCCAAAACCCTTGGAACATCTGCTGTGTTAGTTGCCATCTTTGCAATCGAGACACTCGTACTTCGGTTAAATCTTGTTCCGGAACAGCTGTTAAAGAAGTCCCTATAATAAAGTGTCCAGGAGTCAAAGCTGTCAAATCATTGGGATCACTGGAGACCGGTGTTATTGGCCTCGAATTTAAGCATGCTTCAATTTGTGCAATTAGAGTTAGAAACTCTTCATAAGTCAAAATTTGAGTTCCAACACATTTCTTTAGATGCAGCTTCATAGATCTAACAGCTACCTCCCATATACCACCATGATGTGGAGCAGCAGGCGGGTTGAATATCCACCTTTATGTTTCATTTGCTAACCACCTTTGACCTTTGAAATTCTGAAGCCTTACCGTAACTCATAGAGCGGTAAGCATACCAGATTGCTTTTCACGAAACGGATTTACAGTTGTTCACGAAGCGCAGAACATAAGCCATTATTCCCAGTACTTTGGTTTAAATTTCCGTACAGTTCAAGATTTAGTAACGGTTCTGTAGATTCCCACAAGTGTTTTCAAAGTAACACATTTTCGTTCTTTCACTAACGTTTTGCAAGTCAGCTTCGGTATTCATTTCGTTTATGTGATGTCGAATATCTACTTCTGAAAGCCAAGGGTGGCCCAGAAAACCAATCACTATCATTAATTAGAGCTTCAGCATCCATCTCCCTCGTAAGTTTATCAGCAGGGTTGGTCTTCCCACTGCAAAAGTACCAGTTAGTTTAAAATTGTTTTTCTCCTTGATCTCTACCACACGATTTCTAACAAATTGTTTCCACTCGTTGGCAGATCCCTTGATCCAGTCAATGCAAATTTGGGAATCAGTCCAGTAAAATATATTTCCGTTATTATCACTGAAGTACTGTCTGGGAATTTCGAAAAACTTTATTTTTTCAACTTCTTTTAACCATTCCTGAAATATGAATTCTGTATCAAGGGGAACACTTTCGTCCCATTGAATACCCT